ATATGTGATACCCGGGCAGACGACATTGACAAAGTATTAGGTCCATTCGTTAACAGTCAAGCGTTTTCATGAGGTGCATTAAAAATATCCACTTCAGCAGAGGCAAAAAGTGCAGGCACCAGATCGAAACAGCGGCGCGAAGTGATCCTACCGGTGACAGGTGGGAGGCAAATTGAATGAATGAATGAATGAATGAATGAATGGAGGGAGGGAGGGAGGGAGAGAGGGAGGTAGGGAGGGAGGGAGGAAGAAGGGAGGCATGTCAGTCACCCACCTTCAGGTATCACCATGCCAAAACAGTTGTCCACACAAACTCAACAGCATTGGCAGACAACATTACACAAAATAAGTGATGACAGTCAATGAAAGTGACAGAAAAGGTGTTTGGTTGCTGAAGAGGTGCGGATTCATGACAAGTTGCAAGGCGATTTACGGAGCATGGCGCCAGATGATGCTTCGAACATGGAAAGCACATTTGCAAAAAAATGCAATGCAGGAGGGGAGAATCGTAGTGAAGCCAACGACAAGGGCATACTGTGTTCATAGGTGAATGCCTTGTCGAGCCTCTTGGCTCCACTGAAAGGCATTAATGGACCGTTTTTAACTGTCCAGCGACAACAGCGTCTTCAGGCTGCTTGGTTGGGCTGAGGCTCGAAACCTCAACTGGTGATTACAACCGACCGATGGCATGTGATAATGACCGCCTCATTTGCATGACACAGAAGAGTTTCAGGAGATGAGTGTTTGTTGTGCTCGCATGGATTTTTGGATCAAGTGAAACTGGACTGTGACATGCTCTCAGAGTTCTAAATAGCATGCCACGAAGAAATATACAGAATGTTGAAATGCACCAAGCACAGACATCTACTTTTGACAAATGAAATTACACATTTGCGTTCTGCAAACTGATCTACAGCACAATTAACCACAGTAAAGCACGAATAGACCCTTCGTGATTCTACATTATCATTCCTGCATCCTACATCCAGCGTCTCGCGTTATTCCACTAAATTGATGCTACAACAATCGTGGTCAGACCCAGAGACAAAATCACCGACCTGGACGCATTCCGTTAGAAGAAGGAGGAATCGTAGAACTCATCGTGCCACTTTCACATTCCACTTAATGCATCGGTTGACAGTGACCCCCCAGTTCTGACCCACTTCCACCACACGGTATGATGTTTTCCTGTGTCCACTACTTGTTTCAAGGAAACTTCACATGACTGATCCTCAAGCGCGTTTTGAGGAGTGAAATATGTCGACGAAAAACGGGTGAATGAAGACGCAATACGTGTTAGCACGTAAGTATGGCATTCGATGAGTGCGGCAACATCTCACAAGAAGGTGATCCACTCGTCCATGGGTTGATCAAACGACGCAGACTGAGGTCTTGTTTGATTCCGCTAGTGCATCTCGGTATTGGAGTGTGGTTACGCGTGACATTGGTTTGATCTCAATGGCGACCATGACTGCTTGATACGGTAGCCCAGAAGTTTGCATGGAATGGAAATCCTTTGTAAAAAAACATATTAAAACGCTCTGGC